ATGCTGCAGCCCGCCGTGAACAAGTTCTCGCTGCGCATGTTCGGCAGCCACCGGGCCGTGGAGATCGAGCGGCAGCGGGTGAAGTCGGCGGGCACCTGGATCATCCACCCCTACAGCGACTTCAGGTGGGGATCCCCGGGCCGGGCACCGCGAGCCCCCGCCACCGGCAGCGGCACCGGCGCCGATCCCCCCGCGCCCCGGTGACCGCTCCGGCTCCGCCGCCCCGCCCGGTGCCCGCCGCTGTCCGTGGTGCTGAGCGCGGCCCCGCCGCCGTCGGGGCAACAAGTGCCGGTGGCCGGGGCTCCGCACCCCTCCGCGGAGGCGGCTGCACATCCCCGGTTATCCCGCCCGCACGGAAAACTCTGTTCTGCCTCATTTCCCCCCCGGCATTCCCGGGGGCAGCAACAGCCCCGCCGAGGCCGGGAGCTCCGCTGCCCCGGCCCCGGGCGTGCGGAGGCGGACGCAGGGGCTGCCCGGCTGTGCCTCGCCCCCGACAGCTCCCCCCGCCCTTCTCGGTGCTGTTTTTAATTTGGTTGAGCAGCCGCCACCCACCCAGGACATGAAACCCCGCGGCTGAGCAGGGCTGGGCACTCGGAGAGGAGCCGGGCCTGGCTCACGGTGTCACCGGGATCACCGCGGGAGCTCGGGGATGGATGATGTGGGAGGAACTGGGTGTCACGGGGATGTTGAGTCATATAGGGTGGGCTTTCTCCACGGGGGATGAAGCTGCCAGGCAGTCATCTCCCCGCAGCAGGCTGTGACACGGCTGATGTCCCCAGCCTGGGGGCACCTCAGAGTGGGGCTGGCACCCACCACGGGTCCACGGCACCTGTAGCCACGTCCCCTCAGCGCTGGGCCTCGGCCACACCACCCAAGCACAACAGCCAGGGCTGCCAGCCCCGAGAGCCCTTTTCCCGGGGAAGGCATCCCAAAGTTTGTGAGCCTGAGCTTGGCTGGGAGCTGCTTGTGCAAGCGGAGCCGTGAGGGGAGCTGGCAGGTGGACAGCCAGGGGGATTACACCGGTGTTTATCACATTATGGGGATACACAAAGGCCGTGGAGATCAGGGCCCCGAGCACTCGGGCTGACACCGAGTGAAGGACAGGGCCTGTCCTAAAGAGCTTAAGCCTAAATCTGACTTGAGAGCTCTGGGCAGGTTCCGACACCGTGGGGACAGTTTCCCTGCTGAGGATGTGGTGTTTTTTGGGGCAGAGTGTGGAGGGGAGGAGGTAATTGCTCAGCCCCTCCTACCTCAGCTGGTGTCTCCTCAGCTGACCCAGCAAACCCTGGACATGGCAAGAAGGTGTTAATTTGTGAGAGGCTCCTGATCCTGGGGTGGCTCCTGACCTTGGGGTGGGCTCCTCAGCCCTGGGGTTGCTCCTGGCCCTGAGGTCTCTCCTGACCCATGGGTGGCTCCCAGCCCTGGGGTGTCCCCCACTCCCTTGCAAGCTTTTGGTGCTCTCTTACTGAAGGAGTGTCTTGTGGCACCATGACTTCCCCTCCCCTCCCTTCCCTCACCTGCAGAGATCCTGGTACCTGTGTCCCAGTGCGGGTGCAGGGTGGGAAACACCCGGAGATTTCCATCACCTGCCAAGGCTGGTTTGGATCCACCAGCACTAAGAGTTGTCCTGAGGTCACCTTTGGAGATTCGGGTCTATACCCACAGCCAGGGCTGGGGTTAATGGAGGCACCTGAAACTGGGAGCTGGACTTGCTTTCCCAGGGGCCTGGGAAGGCTTGAGCTGGGATCCCAGGAATCAGGAGCCTGGTGGAGGAAGGCTGTTATGTGTCTGCCTGAAGAATGAAAACATCCCAGGGGCATTTGCATATGAACGGGGATGCTGGATGTCCTGACATAACCAGCTGCTCTTGGAATCTCTTGGCTTTTCCTCCAAAGCCTCTGAGCTCATCCAGTCTCAGCAAAAGGAGGTGGATGAGGGGTGCTGCAGGCCCAGGGCTGTGCAGCTTCTGCCCAGTGTGCACTGGCAGCTCCTTTGGAGACAGACATTCCTCCTACCTTCCCCTGGTATTGGCACTGTCTATCCTTGCTTGGCTGCGGCCTGGCTCACCCTGACAGCCTCCTCGAGTCCCTCGGCCGCCCCAGGAGCTTGGCTCTGTTTGCATAACCAGCGAAGCTTATCCCAAATCCTGCTAAGCCATCCCGGGTGGTGGCGGGGAGCTGGTGGATGACAGGGAGCTCCGGGAGCTCCAAGGAGCAAAGCCCACATTCTTCCTGAGTTCTCCACGGGGCACACATCAAGTTTGGGCTCGGGGCACACATGTGCATGCACTGTCGTGGAGATGACAGTGACAACCAAGCCCCTCGAGCTCCAGCCCCCCACTGCCACACACATGAGAGGTGACATTTTCCCCCTGGACCCCTGGCCCGATGCCGAATCGCTCCTCTCTGCACACGTTTACTCACATCTGTCCCAGCCAAGCAGCAGGGTCTTAGTCATGTGTGTGGGCAGGCACGTGTGTCCTCAGCACCTGCCTCTCCATGCTCTGCTGGACTCCAACTTTGAGCCTGGTTTTGCTGTCTAACCCCATCTGTGTCCTGCCTCTCCCTGCTCCATCCCTGCCCCTCTCTGCCCCCCACGTCCCCACCCTGCAGGTTTTACTGGGACCTCATCATGCTGCTCCTGATGGTGGGGAACTTGATCATCCTGCCCGTGGGCATCACCTTCTTCAAGGACGAGAACACCCCTCCCTGGATCGTTTTCAACGTGCTCTCGGACACTTTCTTCTTGGCTGACCTGGTGCTGAACTTCCGGACAGGCATCGTGGTGGAGGACAACACGGAGATCATCCTCGACCCCCACACCATCAAAATGAAGTACTTGAAGAGCTGGTTCCTGGTCGACTTCGTTTCCTCCATCCCTGTCGACTACATCTTCCTCATCGTCGACCTGGAGACCCAGGTGGATTCTGATGTCTACAAGACAGCGCGGGCCCTGCGCATCGTCCGCTTCACCAAGATCCTGAGCCTCCTGCGCCTGCTGCGCCTCTCGCGCCTCATCCGCTACATCCACCAGTGGGAGGAGGTGAGAACCCCTCGGGGGTCCCCTGGTCGGGGTCTCAGGCCAGCCTGGGGGGCCCTGGCTGTGTGGTATGGTCTGGCTGGAGGGCAGAGGGGCTCCAAGGACTGTTCTAGGAGAAGAGTTTCTCTACAGCTCCACTCCTGCCTGTCCCCCAGATCTTCCACATGACGTACGACCTGGCCAGCGCCGTGGTGAGGATCTTCAACCTCATTGGCATGATGCTGCTGCTGTGCCACTGGGATGGCTGCCTCCAGTTCCTGGTGCCCATGCTACAGGACTTCCCCGAGGACTGCTGGGTCTCCAAGAACCACATGGTGGTGAGTGCCCGGGCAGGGGTGATTCCAGACCGGATCTGCCACAGGAGGCAGAGGATTTGGTTACACATCTCCTGCTCCAAGGCTGGAGCTGCCTGGAACTACGTGCTGCTGAGCAGCATCTCTCTGGTCACAGCAGTGAGATGGGGCACAGGGAATCTTTGCCTCAACTTCCTATCTCAGCCCACCTTGCTGGAGTCAGGGAATCCCTCAGGGAGTGGATAGGGCAGTGGGCCTCCTGCCTCCTCCCCAGAGCAGGAGCTGGTGCCACCTCAGGGGTTTGCACCATCCCAGTACCACCTCCTGGAGCAGAGCTTGACCCTTTAGGCTTGGACACATCAGCAACACCTTTCTCACTGGAGTTCTGAACTCCTGTGAGAACTCCCAGTTTAAAGAAGGGGGACTGGGGGGGTTCAGCCCCTCAGCTCCTTCCAACAGCCCCCCCAGCACCGCTGTCCCTCGCCCGCAGAACGACTCGTGGGGGAAGCAGTACTCGCACGCCCTGTTCAAGGCCATGAGCCACATGCTCTGCATCGGCTACGGGCAGCAGGCGCCCGAGGGCATGACCGACGTCTGGCTCACCATGCTCAGCATGATCGTGGGGGCCACCTGCTACGCCATGTTCATCGGCCACGCCACCGCCCTCATCCAGTCCCTGGACTCCTCCCGCCGCCAGTACCAGGAGAAGGTCAGCGGGGTCAGGGGAGCACTGGGGGGAGAGCCCTGGCACGAGCGGGTCCGGTTCCAGAACCAGCTCAGCACAGCTGCCTCACCCTGCTGATTCCAGAGAGAGGGGTCTCTGCCCTTGCCACTCACCCTGGGGGTGTGGGGAGGCACCTCAGGCTGCCCATTGGGATAGAGACACCCCGTTCATCATGCTGGGGTTCACCCTGACATAGTGAGACCCCCATCCTGCTCTCTGCCCTGGGAACCCCTGGGACCCCCTGCATTCTGTCTCAGAGGTGGCCTTTTGGGATGGGGCCCTGGAGCAAGGGTGAGCCCTCACTTCTCACCACCAAGGAGAGTGGATGCATTGTCTGGCCATGCAGTGGGTCCCAACTCATCCCTGTGTGTTCCCCTTGTCCCCACAGTACAAGCAAGTGGAGCAGTACATGTCCTTCCACAAGCTGCCCGGGGACACGCGCCAGCGGATCCACGAGTACTACGAGCACCGCTACCAGGGCAAGATGTTTGACGAGGAGAACATCCTGGGGGAGCTCAGTGAGCCCCTCAAAGAGGTGGGGGCAGGCACCCTGAAATGGGGGACCCCCGGGGAGAGGGGCTGGTGCTTGCTGGGGCCAGGCTGGGTGACATCCCTGCCCCTCACCCCACAGGAGATCATCAACTTCAACTGCCGCAACCTGGTGGCCAACATGCCCCTGTTTGCCAACGCCGACCCCAACTTTGTGACTGCCATGCTGACCAAGCTGCGCTTCGAGGTCTTCCAGCCCGGGGACTTCATCATCCGCGAGGGCACCGTGGGCAAGAAGATGTACTTCATCCAGCACGGGGTGGTCAGCATCCTCACCAAGGGCAACAAGGAGACAAAGCTGTCTGATGGCTCCTACTTCGGGGGTGAGGCTGGGCTGGGGGGACTGGAGAGCAGAGGGGGGTGAGAGTTGCCAGGGGGGAAGAAACTGGGGCACCCCTGATGTTTCTGCCTCCCCATCCCCTTTGCCCAGTGCTGAAGGCTTGGCATCCACCTCACCCCAGGCTCTGGGGCACAGAAGGATGCCCCCATGCTCTCCTGGGGTACCTTGCTCAGCAGATGGGACCAGAGGGGCAGCTGGAGTGCTGAGGTCTGGGGCAGAGCAGGCATCCACCACCCCACCACCAGGGAGGAGAGGGTGTTTAAATCAGAACGTCTGAGACAGTTTATAGGTTACAGACACAAGTCTGAGAGGAAAACAGGCCAGGCCATCAGAGCAGCCAGGCCTGGGTCTGCATGCCCTGGGGAGGTAGGAAAAGGCCATTCCTGGCCATGGGTGTGGCTGTGCCTGTCCAGGCGCTGGGGTCTGTCCCTCCTCCTGAGCCGTGCTGCACTCTGTGCAGGGTGTTGGGGTGCCAGGCAGTCCTGTTCCCGCTCTGCCTGCTGGGAAAGGGATGGATGGCAGTGTCACCCTGACCCCCAGCCCTGTCTCCCTGCAGAGATCTGCCTGCTGACGCGGGGCAGGCGCACGGCCAGCGTGAGGGCCGACACCTACTGCCGCCTCTACTCCCTGTCCGTGGACAACTTCAACGAGGTGCTGGAGGAGTACCCCATGATGCGCAGGGCCTTCGAGACGGTGGCCATGGACCGCCTGGACCGCATAGGTGAGGAGTGACTGACCCCTCTGTGCCCGCTCCCAGGGGCCATGGCACCCCGGCCCTACAGGTATCACAGACCCTGTGGATCACATCACCCAGCCCACAGAGCCCAGCAAGGAGGATGAGGGGGAGCACAGCCAGGGAGCCTCCCTCTGTCCTCCAAGGCAGTGCTATAGGACAGGCTTCCCAGGGAAACTGTCACCCCCCCACATTTGCACTGTCTTGTGCTTGTCCTCACCCCTCCTCACCTGCAGAGGACAAGCAGGATCCCACTCCCCATCCTGGAGCCTTTGGAGCCAGGACTCCTGTGTTTTGTCCCTGCTGCTTCCTCTGCCCCAGCCCAGACCCTCCCCAGGGTCTCGCTTCCCCTGGCACACTGGTCTTTACTGACCCTTCCCTGCTGCCACCCTGCCCTCCGCAGTGTCCTCGAGAGCAGGGTTGGTGACACTCCTGCCCTCGACCCAGGGAAGAAGAACTCCATCTTGCTCCGCAAGCGAGCCGAGCACAGCTCGGGGCCCATGAACACCGAGATGATCCAGCAGATCGTGAAGCACGACCAGGACATGGCCCACAGCATCCAGGACCTGCAGCAGATGGCGATGGGCCGGGAGCTGAGCGGGAAGCCGGTGATCTGGGAGCCGCTGGTGCACGCGCCCCTGCAGACGGCGGCCGCCACCACCAACGTGGCCATCGCCCTGACCCACCAGCACAGCCTGCAGGCCCACATCTTCCTGCCGCCCTCCTCCATCTCCAGCCCCCTCTCGCCCGAGACCACCCTGCTCACCAAGCCCGTGCGCCGGTCCCAGCCCACCCTGGCCGGCTCCCGGCCCTCCTCCGTGAGCTCGCCGTCCGGGGCGCAGTCCCACCTCCAGACGCCCGCTGCCGGCTCGCCCTCCTCCCCCATGGTCCAGTCCCAGGCGCCGCTGGAGAGCGGGGCCCAGAGACCAAGCCATGGGGCGCAGCCCCTGCCACGAGCAGCGCAGAGGGGGGAGATGCCGGGGGGGGCCAAGCAGCCCCCGGGTGCCCCCCAGCCCCAGCTCTCCAGGTCCCGCGGCGCCTCGGTCTCCACCTCGCTGCTGCAGCAGGCGGCGGGGGCGGCGTCCCCCAGCTCGGAGCAGGCGCTGCCGCCGGGGAGAACGCTCCACTACAGCCTGTCCCGAGCCACCGGCTCCCACATCTCCCTCCTGATGCAGCCCCAGCAGCTGGTGAAGCACAGGAGCATCCAGGGCCTGCCGGTGGGGCGGCTCACCCAGGATGTCCGGCTGCTCTCCGCCTCCCAGCCCTCCCTCCCCAACAAAGTGGCCCAGCAAGCCGAGGGGAGCTCCTTGAAGCAGGGCAGGAAATCCGCGGGGAACCTGGCCCGCAGGTCCTCTCCCTCGGTGGCCGGACTCCTCGCCAAGCCGTGTCCGGGGGTCCCGGCCCAGCCCTCACACCCGCAGCAGATGCCTTCAGGATCGCTGGCTCAGCCCGCCCGCTCCGCGCCGGGAGCCTCCACCCCGCAGTCCCCGGTCTCCACGTCCAGGCAGGCAGCAGGTCCCTCCCGCAAGGGTTCCGTGGCCTTCAGCCCCGAGGTGGAAACGGGGAAGCCCAAACTCCCGTCCAACATGTGAGTCCCAGCGGCACCGAGCGCAGGCAGGAGGGACCCGGGCACCCCGGCGGCAGGAGCAGCCGAGCACCGGCCCCGCCGTGCCGCGGGGAAGGTGAGGTGAGAGGCAGCACCCGGGCCCTTGGAAGGGCTGTTTCGGGCGCGGGGGCACGGCAGGGGTGGGCATGGGGCAGCCCCGGAGCTGGCCCAGCTGGGTGAGGAGGGGGCTCTGCTGACTGCCCCGAGGGGGGACCCTGCCCGGGCTCTCCCCTCCTTGTTCATCGCCATCTGTCCTGAGTCCTGCCCTCGTCCTGGAGGCACAGGACAGGACAGAGCCCTCGCCCCAGCTCTGGCCTCTCTGGGGAGCTCAGCTCCCCACAACTGCCCCTTGGGGGCCGGGCCCCCCACACTCTGCCCGCGCATCCCAGGGCCTGTCCTCGGGGCGGGGATGGCGCTGGCGGCTCCTCCAACCTGTCCTCTGTCACAGCAGCGGCCACCTCACGCTCGCCTCGATCCCCAGAGAGCTCTGCTTTGCTTTATGGGGGAGGAGGGAGAGGCAGCCCCGCGGGTCCCCTGCCGGGGTGACCGGAGGGGGATGGACACCATGGCAGGGGCTCCCCGGGCAGGCAGAATATGGGGGGCCAGGGCCAGCAGGGGCCAGGTCCCCCTTCCCCAACGCCTGGGGGTGGGTGCCGGGGGCTGGGGGTCCTGGGCAGGAATCCCCTGGTGTGACGAGTGCCAAGCAGCAAAGCTGGGGGCAGAGGGGTCTCCACTGAGCAGACCCCCCAGTCCCTCTCCCCGGCTTGGGGAACATCTTGCCTCAGAGGTGCTGAGTCCCTGCAAGGTTGGGATGTGCTGCCAAACAGGGCTCTGCATCACACCCGGGCACTGTGGCCTGGACCTTGGCACGGGGGCAGCCTGGGAGGACCCCACAGCCTGTGGCTCCAGGAGGATGCTCAGAGGGTCACACTGGGGGAACCCCACTGCCTGTGGCTCCAGTAGGATTTTCAGAGGGTCAGTCTGGGGGGAACCCCTCTATAGCTCCAGAATGATGCTCAGAGGGTCAGCCCAGGGGGATTCTACTGTGGCTCCAGTGGGATGTTCAGGGGGTCACTGGGGGAGACCCCTCTGTGGCTCCAGGAGGATGCTCAGCCCGGGCTCTGCTCCCCGTGCCCTGCCCTGCGGTCCCGTTTCCAGGCTGCCTGGAGATGTCAGTCACCAGCACCGCAGCGAGTGAAAGGCTGTCGCCAAGAGATGCCAACCCCGGGCAGCGCCCGGGGGACAGGCGGGGCTGCGGGGTCACCCCCTCCTCGGGGTCCCCACAGCCGCCCCACGCCGCCCCTCCAGAGCCAATAGTCTGCAGTGTGTGTTCGAGTCGTGGCTCTGCCGAGCAGCCGAGCTCTGCTTACAGTGTCGCTTTGGGCCAAACCGTGTTCAGTCCTGGTTAGAGTAGTGTCCCCTCCGACCCCGCCACGCTGCGCGAGCTGCTTCCCACTCCCGGAGTCAGGAGCCATGGCTTGTGTGGTGCTCTGGGGCTCGGCCGCCGCTGGGCGGGGTCCGCCGGACCCCCGGCACAGCGGGCGAGGTCGTGTTCCCTGTGGTACTTTATAGAAGTGAGGTCTTCAGTTCTCCCCCCTCGTGTTTTGGGATGTCTGGAGCAGCCCGGAGCGCAGGGAGCCCACCAGGAATCCCGGCAGCGTCTGCCAAGAGGGGATGTCCAGCACTGCCTTCTTTCCATGGACTTCAACTCCCCTTCCCCGCCCACCCCCACGTCCCCACTCCACCCCCGCGGTCGGTGTCCCCCGGGCAGCCCCTCGGGCAGGGGTCTGCAGCTGGGCCACATGTCCAGCGTCCCCGGGCTGTGTCCACACTGCGTGATGTCGATGTCTTAGTGGTCATCCTGGTGTCCCTGCAGAGCACACGGGCCGGCCCGGACGGCACCGGGAGCGGCTCCACTCCCACCGGCCGAGCCATTGGTGCACCCTCCCCGTGCTGGCAGCCAGAGCCACCCCGTGCTCCTGTCACCGCGGCCCCTGCCCTGCGCCGTCACCTCATCCCGGTGGGGAGGCACAAGGCGGGGCTGGAGGGGCCGGGGGGGTGCCGGCCGTGCGCGAGTTTAGCCACCAAAGACCATGACCCTCCACTCTTGCACTCACGGCAGTCCATGTACAGAGCTTGTAGTTTTCATATCGCAGAGGATTTAAAAGCGTTTTTTTATTTTTTGGTCGTTGTACATAATGGATTTAAATAATAAAGAGAGATTCTGAGCTGGTCTGGGGGAGCCTCTTTCTGCACTGCCTGTGGTTCCCCAGCTCCCTGCCCGGGGATGGGATGGGACAGGGGCATCCTGGCCCTCTGCAGAGCCGGGAGCAGCCAGGACATCCTCGGGAGCCCATCGAGGGGCCTGTTCCCGGCCCCACAGACCCGGGAGGCACAGCAGGAGCCCAAAGGCTACAGGTCCCCTCCCGCCCACCCCGATCACTTTCGGCCCCGGGGAGATTAATGTTTAATCTTTGGTTATTTTCCCCTTCCATCTCCCTTCCCTTTATTAACGGGGGGGGGAGGGGCAGGTTTGATTGCAGAGCAGACTCGAGGCATTAACGTGATTAAATGAAGGTCACACAGTGCAAGGTGGGCCGGGGAGCCATGGCCGTGCCCGTGTTTGCTCTGTCGCTCACCTGGCACGAGGCTCGGGGCTCAGATGTGCCCTGCCTGCACCCCCAGCAGGCAGGGTGCAGGCAGGACAGGGACACAGGCAGCACACAAGGGCAGGCAGGACACAGGCAAGGCACAAATGCAGATAGGGTGAAGATGCAGGTAGGACACAGGCAGGGTGCAGGTGCAGGCAGAACAGTTGCAGGCAGGACGTGGACAGAGGCAGGACACGGGCACAGGCAGGATGCAGGTGCAGGCAGGTGCAGGCAAGCATGGGCAGGATTCAGGCAGGGCACAGGCAGAACACAAGCACAGGCAGGATGCAGGTACAGGCAGAGCTCAGGAAGGATGAAGGTGCAGGCAGGACACAAGTGTAGGCAGGATGAGGGTGCAAGCAGAACACAGGTACAGGCAGGATGAAGGTAGGACACAGGCACAAGCTGGACACAGGCAGGACACAGGCGTAGATAGGATGCAGGCAAGGCCCAAGTCTAGTCAGGGCACAGGCAAGCACAGGCAGGAGTCAGGCAGGGCACAGGCAGGATGCTGGTGCAGGCAGGAGGCAAGCACGGGCAGGAGGCAGGCAGGGTACAGGCAGAATGTGGGTGCAGGCAGGACGCAGTCACAGGCAGGACACAGGTGCCACCCCCCCGTGCCACGGACTCTCCCCATGGCAGCCCCACATCCCCGGGGCAGCCCCTGCCCGCAGGGCGCTGCTGGCAGCCCCCCTGCCCCCCCCAGCAATTAGGCTCCGTGACACACGATGAGCTCAGCGCTGATTAGCGGTTTCTCTCTAATTTGATTATTTCAGATTACCCCGCAGCCAGCCCGATTAAGGGGGCGCGGGGGCTGCCCGGCCCCGAGCCGCTCCGCGGGGCTGCCGAGGGCCGAAAGAGCATTCCTTGGGAATGAACTCCAGCCAGCGTCCCATGTCCTCTTCCTATTCCAGTGCTATTCCATCCAGCCTGTGTCCCACGCCCCATCGGCTGAGGCGGCGGGGCAGGGACCGGCGTCCCAGGGCACGACAGAGCCCCGGGGGTACGGACAGAGCCCCAGGGTGAGGGCAGAGCCCCGGGGGTGAGGGCAGATCCCTGGAAGTGCCGAAGCCCCGCAGAGCCTCGGGGATGAGGGCAGAGCCCCGAGGGCACGGACAGAGCCTGAGGATGCGGGCAGAGCCCCGCTGCCCACCCCGGGGGTGAGGACAGAGCCCCGGAGTTGAGGGTAGAGCCCCCCTGCCCGCCCCCGTGCCAGGTCCCCAAGGACGCCTGTCCCTGGGGGGTCGGTGACTCTGCCCCGAGTCCCTGTGCCACCGGCGCGGGGAGGGGGATTAGCGGGCGCCATGGAGGGATTAATTAACTCGGGTGAGCCGGGATTAGGGGATTCGGGGGGATTCGGGGCGGACGCCAATCTGCGGGGCGGAGGCCGGGGCAGGAGCTGCGGGCAGCGGCCGGGGAAGGGGCCACCGCCTGTGCCCACCCGGGTCACGCCTGCGGGGTCCCCTCGGGGGTCAGTGGGGAGCTGGACACCCCCGGCACTCGGGGTCTCGCCCGCTCACATAAGCGGGTGGTGCGCTCCACCTACACAGCACCCACACCTGTGCTGCACCCCACACCTGTGCTGCACGACATACCTGTGCTGCACGACATACCTGTGCTCTACCCCAAATCTGCACGGCTCCCCACACGCACAGAACGTGCCAAATGCACGGCACCCCATACCTGTACGGCACCACATACCTGTATGGCACCCCACATCTCTATGGCACCCTATATACCTGCACTGCACTCCACATCTGCAGGGCATCCCACAACCACAGAACGTGTCAACCACATGGCACCCCCTACCTGTACAGCACCCCACACCTGCACTGCACCCCATACCTGTATGGGACCCCATAACTGCACTGCACCCCACACCTGTGCTGCACCCCACACCTGT